TCTAAAAATCATTTCGGAAAAAGGCTTTTAGTACTATCAGCTATGGCATCCTCGATGAGCTCTCGAACTCCATAATAATGTGCATATTTTCCGAATAGCTCTTTATACCGCTTCATCTGCAGCCGACAAATTTCAAACGCTGTGTCAGTTGGATTAATCAGTCGCAGATCGGTGTAATCTTTGTAGTTTTTAGAGCGGATTAAATACTCGGAGTCTTATCTAAATCTCCGTGAGCCTTCAACAGATCTTTTGCACAGTTATCGCATCTGAACTTGGAGAGAAGTTTTTGGTATATAGAGTATCCAGTGAAATACCGCTGTACTTGAAGTTCCGCAGTATTTTCTTCGGTTTCTGCAAAGTGCTCATCGGGAATGTCAACTACATCAACGGCGTATTGCTCAGATTCATCGAGAGAGCTATGATCTTCCTCGCTTACATTCCAATTAGCGTTTATTATTGAAACTGCGTCTCAATATTTTCATTGAGATAAGACGAGCGACTACGAATTGAATATCATAAGCCGATGAATGGGTATTTATTCCCTACCTAGTCCTAATTTTATAAAAAAAAATTTAATAGCGCGTCTTGGCTTAATTTTCCTAACAATATAAATTTAACATCTTTGTGATTAGCAAAGATTTCTGTCGATAAATTCATGATTGCTATTATAGTTATGATAAACCCTGAAAAGCATTGAGCATTTATGTATATTGCTAGGATCCTCGATATGCGAAATGAACTGCAGGTGGTCCTTCAGCCTATCAAACTTTGCCGAAGTGTTTTGTTGAATGGGCCACTTGTACGGGCTCTTGCTGTTGCGCACATTACAATCAAGCTCATCGAACAAGTTGAGTTCATGAGTTTTAGCTTTAGCAACGCTCATTTTCTCGAAGTTATTGGGATAAATGTGGGAGGATGTCAATGTAATTGCCTATGGCCGTCTCCTTTCTCAATGTTATAAACGAGACCTTTTTAATTGCAATCTCGTCGATTATTATTACACAGATCCGTTCGTAATTGGACATTTACCCAACAAGAGTTTTTAAATTACCTATAACCCTAGGATCAACCCCTACCATAACATTTAATTGGGCGCCAGCGAAATAGCCAATAATTAACCTATTCTCTAATTCAAATTCTTTTTGTTTCAAATCCTCAGCGCTCAGGTAGGTGGCGCATTCATGGGTTCATTTTGTTTACGGGCATTTTGAGAAATCGATGTTGAAGGAAACACTATCTTGTTTACTCTTCATCTCGAGATCTGAATATAATTCGAATTCCTCATAACTCAAATCTTCTCCCCTTATCTGATTTCTATATGAATAATGGCGTTTAATAGGCAGAAGGACTCTGTTCGACGACAAGCTACTGCAACTACCTGTATTTTGTTAAAATAATTTATGCTTCGGGAAAGCTCCTTCTTAAGTCTATTATTTGCGACATAATTCGCATCAAAATTGCTGTCACAAATAAATAACTTTTTACGGTCGGATTATGTTGCATTTATTTGTAATACTAACACCCCGCTGTTGAATGCAATCTCATCTACGGTGAATGAAAAAAGGATTTTTTTTCATCCGATGGACATCCTTCAACGCATAAACCCCGATACGCACATAAGTATACATACATACATACGGGCATATATGCATATACATAGATTAACTGGCAATATCGTAAAACATTTAATAATATTAAAATTTGTAACTTACCAGGATTTAACGTGGGAACAGATCCAATTCTCCAATTTTCAGCCCCCCTTGCATTATCTTCAACATGCGCAGCACAAACAAACGTGTTTCGTCTTCCAAATTTTTCGGCCAAATGAACAAAATACACTTTTTATTGTCAGTTGACCACTCGCGCACACTACGTTTACGGACTCGCGGCATCATGAAAAATAATATGTCATTAAAAACAATTTAAAATTGTACACCTGCGCAAGAACAAGATTTTATTATAACTGATGTTTTGGAATTTCGTTTCATTCTTTTGTTATTCCCTTTTTTATATTTTCGCACTTACCCAATAGAATATTTTCGCAGTTGACACCCATTAAAGTCATCAGAAATTACATAAACAGGTGCATTTCCTCCATCAATAGATGAGAATATCTCTCCCTTCTGCTCTAGTTTTTGCCATTTGCATTTGGTCAAATCTCACCTACATGCCAAAAATGTACCTGCATTTTACTTTAATATTAAAATATTCACATATACGACATGTTTATGTATATACTTGGGTACATTCAGTGTATCACAAAAATAAGTATGCACTATGTATATGCGTAAAAAAGTCATATTAATTTCAAAATAAAAATAAAACTTTTCGTGTTTTTTACAATAACAATTATACATAACATTGAGTATGATAGATCGATGTTATTCACATTTCCCGTTATTAAGAACCGTTTGATTTCCTCAGTAAAAACCAAAAATCACGTCACATAAATATGTATGCAATTTGCCATTTCAGTGTGTTTTCGAGTGGCACACAAGGTGGTATTATTCACGCAAAGTTTTACTCCGATACAATCATTGTTGCTTGGTTTGCATAGTGGAAAGTGAAAGAATCAGTTGGAATTTAAAATGGTGTTATATGGGAAATATGCGTCGGTGTTATCCGATTTATAGAAATATGAGAAGAATGTTATATACCGAATTTGGTTGAAATCGGTTAGGGCGCTAGGTGAACAAAACTATTATACTCTGTAGCAACAGGTTGCGAGAGTATAAAAATTATTGATGTTTGAGTTCACACATTACACTATTTAAATAATATGTTATCTGTGGTGCTGTTTGTATAGCACAATTCCTGATTGCAATAATTGCATGAGTAATTGCTTATTGAACAAAGGATAACAATAAAACGGTGGTTAAGCGGCCGCGTTTCTACTCTTGTGGTGGTTGAGTTGTAAGCGTGAAGGAGTTAAGCTCATTCCGAATACGAGCATATAAGTTCGAATCCTAAAACTCATGTGAATTAAATTTTATTTATTTTTTTATTTTATTAATTAGAGTCTAAGCATATTTAACTTGCTAATATGTCATGTTGCCAATTCTCCTCTCTGAAGGGAACATCAGACAAATTCTTCAGTTTCTGATTTTTAGCATCGTTTGGAGGAGGTAGCTTGTGGGCAAAATACAAATGCGAGGGGAATGGTAGGATCAATTGTAAACTTGAAACTTATTCAATTTTACTGAAGACATTCAAATTCAATTTCATTCATTTTTATTCTCGCGCATTTGCGGTAGGAATTCTATATGAAAACCAAATGTGGTTTACCAGGCGCACAAAAAAAAAAGCGCGGCGCAGAGTTATGAATGAACGCACTTTGCTTTGAAGCAGACGCACGTTCCTTATGAATGAATTTGTTGTCGTTGTAATATGAAATACTTAGAATATATGTCGCGAGTTTGCAATGAAATATTTTGCCTAAGTTTAAATCCTATCAGATATTTTTTATACTCTTTTTTTATTTTTATAACTCTTTTTTATTAAATGATATTTTAATTCTAATTTCATTTTTATTTCCCTCATTACTTACATTTTCTTGTCAGAAGTCAATTTCTTTCGTTTTTATTATTTAAATTTTTGTTTATGCGCATACCAAAGAACATCTGTGCATATGTATGTATGTATATACATTTTGCTTATAGAGTGGTGTAGTTCGTTGCGTAAATTGATAGGTGTGGTGACATTTTATTTTCGAACTTGTTCGTTTTCGATGTTCCCTCATCGTAATTAACATTTTAGTACAGCTAACATTTGCTCCTTTTCTATTCATTAACATTCTCTGCTATAACTATTTGCGGGTCAGAATTTTCTTAACACAAAAATGGCCTAACAACTTTCATTTCATTAAAAATAATGTATCCTACTCCTATCTTATGACAAATACTATCGAATTCTTATACAAATTTTGTTTCAAACACTTTTACAAATGCAACAAACTCCTGAGGCGGCTTTACTAAATTGCATTTGTCTATTTGATTTTGATAAATGAAGATGAATTCGTCCGAAGGAATTTCATCTCGTAAATAAGATAATGGAAGAGAGCATGAGTGCATTTTGAAAGTTTTTAAATAAAGATAGCCGCAAAAATAACTAAAAGCATTTTCTTTTAAAAAGTTAATTTCTAAAGTACTATCTAAAGAAATTGATCTAAGAAGGAAGTGTTCAGGTCGTGGTAAGCCTTGAAAAGCCTGCCAAGAAAGGTCGTTTAAAAATTAATTATTGCACACATTAAGTAGAACATTATTAATAAGATCCGAAATTAGCATCAGGTTCTAAAGGCAGCTCACAATTTCCGATATTTACATAACGTAGACACACGATTTCCTAAATAAACTAGAGAACATGTAAAGCGTTACTCTAGTACCTCCTCTGCTTCTAATCTGCCCTAAAAAATGTTCCAAACTGTCCTGACATAGTCATTTCGTCTTCAAGTATGGAAATCATTAGTGCGACAAAAATCGCTACAACCGTCTTAAACTGTTTATATTTAATAGCCATCCCTTAAAAAAACTAAAATTATTCGCCATTTCATAAAAATGAATAATATCCGATCAACTTACGCAAATCTTCAAAACCCAGTTCTATAGGGTTTTCAAAAAAAGAATTTGAGGCGTTAAATGAAGGCTCAACAATTAAATTAATATCGGGAATGGCCCTCGGGCCCAATTTTTTTGCGTGGCGCATTTTTTCTTAAAAATGGCGTTTACAATCAAAAATGTGTTTAGGTTTTTCTTCATTTAATCTTTCAGAAACACCTAAACGTCTGAGCCAACATTTACGCCTATTAAAAGAAAAAAACATAATATATTCAAATTATAAAATAATATAATATAAAATATATATAATTATAATAGTGCAAAAAATGGCAAAACACGTAAACTATTTATTTATTTTAATAAAGCCGTATAGATATTTAATTTAGTTAGCTATTTTATAATTATTATAAATATTCAACGATAAATCGTTACTTCAAAATAATTTAAGAATGAAATTTAGATAAATTGTAAACTATCGAAACTCATATTTTAACACTTGTTACAATTATTTAAAACTTCTTTGATCACTTTTGCACTTAAATACTTATACATATGCAGAACTACAATAAATTGTATTATTAATAGCACATCCAAAATAATTAATTATATGCGCACAGTCGTTACTTCAAAAAATTAATTTTCTAAATTTTAATATATCGAAAGACATTTTTACAATTATTTATCATATATCACATATTAAACACACTTTTTGCATTATTTAATTAATTTATTTTGTCATGTACTCACCGTTCGAGATCCGTTCCCTCACATGGAAAATGGTAAGTTCGTCCCTCCTCGCTGCAGCCTGCAACACACTTTCTCCATTTTAAGTTTGATTTTAGCATTTCGGCTGTAAAATAACGTTAAAAATTATTAAATACATGCAAATTTATCTAATAAAAATTAAAATATACTTACCAGTTCACAAGCTGCGTGCTGTTTTTCTTTCGTTATTCTTCGTAATAACGGCCGTTACAAATGGAGAGTAAAAATTAAAAATGTCTCCATTCCCATTATAATTTTGTGTGATTTCAATCTGGCTTTGACAGTTCTGAGTTCAGTAGGTTTTGACGTCTAGCAATTGCTCTCTCATTTCCAGTGAGATACGAGTTGGGCATCCCATTATCCCTGATGTGCAGTATGTTTAGGGTCGTTGTTTTTTGGAAAACATAAATCTTCCTTTATCCCCATTTTTTCCGCACTCTGCAACAAATTATTTTTCAATAAATTAAGGTAAACCTCTTTGGTCATTATTCCATCGATTATAACAAGCACTACGATGGATTGCTCTGCGCACTGTATCTGATGATACTGATATATTTTTAGCAATTTCCAAACTAGTGGCTATTTTAAGAGCACTTTCAAATGTATTCTTTGATTCTTGACTATGCCTTTGATAAAACGTTCATCACGGTCCAGAAGCAATTTCGGTCTGCCAGACCTTAGTAAAGTTGATTTGCTACTTTCCACCATTTTTTCGATTTCCGATAAAGATTTACCATCTTTAGAGTTAGAAATTACAACTTTTCTTTTTTCTGAACTTAATTCTCTTCTCTTCATTATGTTTAAAATTATTACAATTGCAATTGTCACTTAACTTAAACTAAAGTGAATGACAGAAAATTTATGATTAAACAGACAAAATATGTGGTATGCAGAGGAATTTATTTGAAAGAAGTTCTCTGTTTTGGGAGAAAGTTCTCCAAAATATTAATAGAGTGGACGCGGGATTCCCTTTTAGTCGGGACGACATTACCAGAAAATTTTTAAATTATATGATAAAGTATAAGCGGATTCTAAAACGGAGTAGCACATATTCGGAGTTTGATAGAACTTCGCTAAAGCCAAAAAAACGTGAAGTTTTAATTTTATTTTGGAAGGGAAGCCTCTGCGGATAAAGAAATGGTAAACAAGTTATTGAAAGTGTTGGGTTAATACTGCTGTCTATGGCTAATCAAAATTGTATTAATCAGCAAAGGTTAAGGTACGTGAGTCGTGCATGGCGCATTTTTATATTATATACATATGTACATACATATACATATTTCACTGTTATCTTTGTTATAAACAAAAATATAGTAATCTTTTTTTTCCAAAAATTTAGCGCAGAGAAGTGTTCAAAAATGATCATGTGCGTTAGGACCACAAGGGCCCCACTTAGAGGGCGTGCAGCAATAAATTTAGTTTTATTATTTTACACATTAAGATAAGAAATATGTTAGAATATACAGTCCACTAATCCTAAATATGTATGCTCAAATATATTTAACAGGCATACATACATACATAAGCAAACACATAAACAAATATACACTCATATGATAACTTGTAGACCTAAGATATATATTTAGGCAATTGATTACAAGTGCACATGAGCACTTGAAAACAATCCCATAACATGTAGCATAAACAATGTGCTACATACATACGGACATACACACACACACATGTATTGAGTTGTACTTAAAAACAACCCTATGTGGTGTGCGTGCCACATACGCACATACATATGTATAAATTTAATTAGATAGTAAGATTTGTAAATAGTATATAAGCGATGCATTTAACAAAATAAAATTAGAATGAATAAGTTCTCAGCTCAATGAAGTCTATTTCTGTCCCCCACCAGCGGTAAGGCAATTAGAATCTTTATTGAGTTTAATAATTGGTCTTACAAATCAATTATTCAGAAGTACAAATAAGTATGTAAACTGTTATTTAAATAAACTTTATTCTAGTTTTAAATGGAAATAATCCAACGCTTTATTTTTATACTCTTGCAACATGTTGCTTCAAAGTATAATAGGTTTGTGCACATAACGGTTGTTTGTATCACCTAAAAATAATCGAGTTAGATTTAAAGATATATAAGTACATATTTATATATAAATGATCAGGATGACGAGACGAGTTGAAATCCGGGTGACTGTCTGTCCCTCCGTCCGTATGTCCGGGAAAGATGTAACTTGCGTAAAAATTAAGATATATTGATGAAACTTGGTACACATGTTTCTTGGTACCGTAACACGGTTTGTATTGCTGATGGGCGTAATCGGACCACTGCCACGCCCACAAAACGCCATTAATCAAAAACATATGAAGTGCCATAAGTAAACCGTCAGTTAAGATACAGTACTCAAGTTTGGCACCACCAATAATATTAAGGAGGGACACCTGTGGTTTGAAAATCTTTTAAAGTGGGCGTGGCCCCGCTATATTACCCAAATTTGCACAGGACACACTTTTTCAACTCTTGTTACAACAGTGTGACAATGGGTGAAATCGGATGATAACCTCGCCCACTACCCATATAACAATTTTGTTATAAACTACTAAAAGTGCGATAACTCTATAACTAAATACGGCAGAGACATTAAATTTTACAGCAGAGATGGCAGGTAATATTGTTATGACATTTCTACATGACAGTGCGAAAATAAGCGAAATCAGGTGAAAACCTACTTTTCATATAACAAAATTTTAAATTTCCTCTGATTGTTTCACTTTTCAGTATACAAATCAAGAACCAATCAATGTATCCAAAAAAAAATGTGTACGAATAGTGCCTTTAAAGTTTGCCATCTTATGACCACATTGGAGCAAAACTGTTCAAGTTCTCTGATACCGAAACTGTGTGTGTACCAGTTCTAATTATGAACTTTTTATTGAAAATATCGGTTAATCTGTGAGATATATTAAAGGAATTCGAAGAGAATCCTTTTCTGATATTAGTATGTCTGTATGTCAAAAAGAAGTTGAATCAGATCAATTATTCTCTTAGCCCCCATATATCTAATAGAAAGATTTTCGAACCTCCGACTGACTTCATACCGCATGTATAGGTCTATTTGATTGTAACTTACCCATGTATGCAAAATATAAGTTAAACTATAAGAATCTCAGGTATAATGAAATCCAGTTCCTAAATTCATTCGTCGGTGTAACCTTAGCTATATTTTGGTATGCCCAATACACGAAATATATACCGTTAGTCTTCTGCTCCACTCCGTAGTAAAAGCATGTGCTTATTCTAACCTATTTCGTGAAGTTTTAGACCTGTGGGTTAAATTTTTTTGTAAAGTGGGCGTGGCTAATTGTGGAAATGGGTAATATCGGATAATAACCACCCCCACTCTCCATATAAGTACTATAACTCACCGAATAAATAAGCCACAACCATTAAATTTCACAACTAGGATGGTAGAGAGGGACTCTTTAGGAAAATTCTGAACATTGGACAAGAGGTGTGACTCCGCCCACCTTAAGGCGAAATCCAATATCTCAGGAACTACTCGACCGATTTCAATCAAATTTGTTGAGTGAATTTACCCAAACAATCCTATTAGTCACTGCAAATAACCATGCCTAATATCCTCCGCCTTTATTCCCTGCAAGTTGCAATGTTATGAAATGTTCGGTTACACCCTTCTTGCCTTATTATTTCACTATTACTACGATCAGCTTATGGTAAAGAGACACCTTCAACAATAATAAAAGCAATCTGCATAAAGGCCCAGTTATGCATATAGTATTTGATTAATTTTTATTTGATTATTTTTATCTTTTCGCTCATCGCGTCTGTTGTGACACTTTGTTTTAATAATTCTACGACGACGAGCGATTGATTGAGGGAGTGCGGCTACGAAATTTTGTAAAATAAAACGTGCCTCGGATACCGGTTGTCGGATAAAAAGGCGGCTGCCTGGGCAAACATCGCCCGAGGACTAGGAGCAACAGGTTAGTAGATTTATATGTTTATGTGTTTTAAAGTAAAATTTTTATTACGTCGTCTGGAACTTTTTCCTCTGTGTATTACATGTCACGTGACGATCGGCCGTGGAGTAGGCCTAAAAATGAAGGTGCCCGTCGGAGCAGCCGAGGTCAATTAAGCGGCGCCTACAGTTCGCATCAGCTGACCGTGTAGTGTATATACTATTACTTATTTGTGCTCGTGCTCCACGCTATTTTGTTTGCTTTTGCCAGTGTTTAATGTAAATGTTATTTTTTTTGCTTTTGGTAAACAACAACACAGCTTGTGGTCCATAAACTGATCAACCAGGAAAAATCAAAGAATAGTATAACAAGTAAGGAAGGGCTAAGTTCGGATGTAACCGAACATTTTATACTCTCGCAAAGTCAAATGGTATACTCGTTTGAGATTTCTTTGTGGATTGGCTGATGTTTTCGATAGAAGGTCTTAGGGGCTTGAACAGTTAGTAGTTTTTAACAGTTCCGTTATATGGGGAGTGGGCGGAGTTGCCACCCGATTTCAACTATTTTCACACCGTCAATAGAAGTGCTAAAAACATTTGCTTCCAGTGAATTTTATTATTATAGCATTAGGGGTTTAGGAGATAAAATTTTATGTGCAGATGCCACTCCCTAATGTGATCCTGTGTACCAAATAACAGTCTTGTATCTTATGGGCGTGGCAGTGGTCCGATTACGCCCATCTGCAACACCAACCATATCACGGTACCAAGAAACATGTCTACCAAGTTTCATAAAGATATCTCAATTTTTACTCAAGTTACAGCTTGCACGGACGGACGGACGGACAGACAGTCACCCGGATTCAAACTCGTCTCTTCATTTATATATACATAACCCTATATCTAACTCGATTAGTTTTAGGTGATACAAACAACCGTTAGGTGAACAAAACTATTATACTCTGTAGCAACAGGTTGCGAGAGTATAAAAATGAATGACGATGAATAAATTTTACGCCGAACGCCGATAGAGCACGTGCTTTTAGAAAAATAAAAAAAAAAGATCCTGGTGACTAAATATAGTTTTTATTTAGCATTGTTAGAACTTTTTGCTAGTAATGTTGTTGATTATGGATTTATTTAAATTCTGAGTACTTGAATTTATTATTTACCTTATTTCGTATGAATATTAAAGTAAGTATTTTTATTTGTATTCGGTCCATGCAATATATTTATATTTATTAAAGTGTTTTTAACAGATGCCATGCTGAGTACTAATATCGTTCAAAGTGGTGAGCCTGTATCTGAAAATATTGTTACAGCAAAACTTTTACATCAAAAGCAACGAAATACGAAACGATGCCGCAGGTATCGTCAAAAATGCAAGCGGCTAAAATACATACACATATAAACTGTGAAACTCATGATGAAGATAGAATGATTGAAAATAATTGAAAAACTGGTGAAAATGACTTAACGATTATAAAATACTTAGTATTTTCAGTTTTTAATATGTGTATGTCCTCTAAATAATTGTTAAACATTAAGTATTTCGTATTCTAAGATACAGAATTCAATAAAAATATTAGTTGGAGATCTAGTCTACTTTTATTATTTCCCATTACACAGCCCTACAAAATAATATTGTTGCCCTGGATATCTGTGATAATTTTCATGTTTTCAAGGGTCCAGATCACAAATATATTTATAAAAGCACTGAATGTGCTCTTATTTTTATGATATTTTTATGATTTTCACAAATCTTATAATTTGAACAATAATCAGTTTTTTATTCATAAAAATTGATTTTATCGGTCATGATTAGGCTTATGCGCAACTTTTTCGCTCATACAAACATCACGTGATCCCTACTCTTAGCAATCCCCACCCCTTGCTCCGCAGAACAGCTAAGATCTCAGTTATTCGACAATACGAAGTACTAACTCGTGAATCTAAATACGTTCTCATGAGTTTATATTCCTTTAATTACTGAATATATATTTAAATATATATTTGTTTTGTGTTGTTTTAAAATATGAGTTCGTCACGAAGAAAGTGTAAATATAGTTCTGATTTGTTTTGTTATATTTGCGGTGTTTATTTAACGAAAAAACAACAACGAAACATCCCAGACTTCGTTAACGAAGCTTACAATGATTATTTTAAAATGGACAAACTAGAAAAACCATGGGCTCCTTATAAAGTTTGTAAATTATGCGTTGAGTCTTTACGGTTATGGAAAAAAGGAGAACGTTCTGTATTAGACTTTGGTATTCCGATGATCTGGATGGAACCTACAAATCATATCAATGATTGTTACTTTTGCGTTGTATATGCTAAAGGTTTTTATCGCAATCAAACCTGGAGATATCCAGATTTACAGTCCACAAAATGTCCTGTTAAGGGAACCATTGGCAGAGAATGTTGAAGAGTAGAGAAGGAGCAAATGTTAGCAGTACTAAAATGTTAATTGCTAAGAAGGAACATCGAAAACGCGCAAGTTCGAAAATAAAATGTCACCACAGCTGTCAATTTACGCAACGAACTACACCACTCTATAAGCAAAATGTATATACATACATATGCGCAGATGTTCTTTGATATGCGCATAAACAAAAATTGAAATAATAAAAATGAAAGTAATTGACTTCTGACAAGAAAATATAAATAATGAGGGAAATAATATGAAAATATAATTAAAATATCATTTAATAAAAAAGGAATATAAAAATAAAAAAAGAGTATAAAAAAATATCTGATAGAATTTGAACTTAGGCAAAATATTTCACATTGCAATGAAGAAGTCTGCTATACAAGCAGCACCACAGACAATATTCAAGCTCTTGAGTTTAATCTGTGAATTCAAACAGCTATTATTGTTTACTTGCTTCAATGTTCATATGTCTATATGTGAATATTCTTGAAATTGCCTTCCTTCATTCGCATGTCCAAATATATTTGCATATATGTACACATATGTACATATGTATGTTCCTCAATATGTCTTTCGCAAAAAATCAAACATTCGCGCAAGTGACAAAAAAACGTAGACGCACCATCATCGACCAATAATATTCAAGCGAACTCGCGGCTTATTTTCTAAGTATTTCATATTACAACGACAACAAATTCATTCATAAGGAACGTGCGTCTGCTTCAAAGCAAAGTGCGCTCGTTCATAACTCTACGCCGCGCTATTTTTTCTGTGCGCCTGGTAAACCACATTTGGTTTTCATATAGAATTCCTACCGCAAATGCGCGAAAATAAAAATGAATGAAATTGAATTTGAATGTCTTCAGTAAAATTGAAGAATCAGCAAAATTTCAATTTTACAATTTGTATCACTGAAAATCCTACCATCCCCTCGCGTTTGTATGTTGCCCACAAGCTGCTTCCTCACAACATTTGCTAAAAATCAGAAATTGAAGAATTTGTCTGATGTTCACTTCAGAAAGGAGAATTGGCAACATGACCTATTCGAGTTTAAATAATATTTATATTTTTGCATATTATGCACTATATATGGCATTAAATTATAAAATTTATATCAAATTGACATTCATATGAAATCATTAACTACTTCTATATATTCTAGGCACAGTCCATATAGTACTTTTATATGTTTACTTATTATCATTGTTTCATAGTTTTTCGATTTAGCCCATTTTATCTAAATACGACGCTATGAAAATGCAGTCCAATTGGTAATCGCAATATTTCAAAAGAGCATAAGTCAACTTTCAATAGCAAACCACTGCAAAAAGGACAAACGAGACAACATAGCCGATCGACATTGTCGCAAAATTGTCGATTGAAACAAATTTTGTCAACTCCGCGACGATGCGCAAAATTTGGCGTCAATATGTATGCGAGCTCGTTTGTATGTATGTATATAAATATGTATGTTTGTCGGCAAAGTCGTCATTTGGTTTTTTTCAACAACACAATGTCCGCGCGAACTCGCCGTTATTTCGTTGGCTTGCCACCATGCACATAGGCGTGTCAAGTGAGGGATCATAATATATTGATATGTTGCTTAATTTGTATTGAAAAATACTGATGCATTTATGAATTATTTTCGTAATATAATATATATTATATATATATATATATCATATATATATTATAATATACCAATAAATTCATACCTATAATCGTTTTCAAACTGAATTCGATAAATAAAATATATATCTGAAATAATTATGTGGCGGTGCGCCCCAATCCCTCCTTGCCTGCGATCGTTCAACTCGCAAAAAGCAAAAAGCGTAGACAAAAGTCATTGCTTGTGCGGGGCAAGAAGAAGCAAGCATCAGCGTACGTGTATTTAAGAATGTATGTGTGATTATCACATTTGTGTAAATACGCATAATAAGGAAATATTCAATTAACCTAAACATATGAACATATAATATTTTCCTGATATATTTTAATTATCTCAGGAAGTAATATATGCTATTAAAGAAATTGAATTATGATATGCTTAGACTCCAATTAATAAAATAAAAAAATTAAATAAAATTCGTTTTAGGATTCGAACGTATAGGCTCGTATTCGGATTGTGCTTAACCCCTTCCCGCTTACGACCTAAGCCACCACAAAAGTGGAAACGTGGCCGCTTAGCCACCGTTTTATTATTATCATTTGTTTAATAAGTATATTGCTTACGCAACGCACATACATAAGTTAGAAAACTAGCTTATTAAATGTTTATTTTATTATGAATTCTGGGGTTTTTACCGGTAATACAGATTTTTAATTCAAAAGGTTTTTCATAATTATAAATTTGTCATATCATAGAGGAATATTCGTTGTGTCTATTTATAGCATTTCGCATATTGTGTGGTGTATTTTTCTTTTTCGAAGTTATACTTTTCGATGTTCCCTCTTGTGGAATTACAAATTAGTACTCAAAAAGTTTTCATTTAACATTTGCTCCTTCTCTACTCATCAACATTCTCTGCCATTGGTAAGCAGAGACAAAATCATACTCCCACCATTACATATAAAGTTAGGAATGATCAAGCAATTTGTTAAAGCACTAGACAAGGACGGAAATTGTTTTAATTTCCAAAGCTTAGTATGGAAAAGTTGAAAGTTGGAATATTTGATGGTCCTCAAATTAGGCAAATGATAAAGGACTCAGATTTTATTAAAGTTATGAATATTCCGGAAAGTAAAGCTTGGGAAAGTTTTGTTATGGTAGTCGAGAATTTCCAAGGTAATCATGAAGCACCAAATTATGAAGAAATTGTACAAAATATGCTGACAAATTTTCAGATTCTAGGAGCAAATATGAGTAAAAGAGATTGTCCAAAAAAGAATGATAAAAGAAAAGCTAATAAAAGGCGTTTTATGGAAATATAGTAAACGTTTTTATCA